CTTTGGCTCAGGTGCCAAAAGCGTTCTCAGCAGCAGGACTTCTGCCTTTACATGGTATAGAATGATGTGGGCTCTGGGAACGGAATTCTAGCATTGTGGCAATTACCCAGGCCGCTTAACTAGAGCCTCTGCAACTACACTTACTGATACCCCCTGTTGATCTACCGTGCATAAAACATTAAGTTTGGCACTCATGATCTTAATAACATTATAGATACCTGATCTTGGTTTCTGCCAGGTGCCTCCCAGGTGGTTTGTTTAACTAAGCTGCTCACGCATCTGTCCTATCTTACGTGTGTGTGTGTGTGTGTGTGTGTGTGTGTGTGTGTGTGTGTGTATATATACACACACACACACACACACACACACTTTTCTTAGTATATATAATTTTTTTTTTAATTTATTTATTTTTAAATACAGCCTGTAAACCGTATCACAATATTTCCTTGTTCAGGCAGAAAGGCCAATATTATTTTAATATATTGCATTAATCCCCAGTACATCGTAAAACAAAAAGTCTCAAACATGCTATAACAGAGCACCGACAGCCTTGCAAATTATCCCACACACACACACACACACACACACACACTATAAAAGGTAGACGATGACTAGCCATAGGGGGGCGATGTAACTCCAGCTACACATTGCCATACTTCGCATTGCTGGCCCCACCCTAGATAGGGATACCAACGGAAAAAACTTTGCTAAACAACTGCACACACAAGGTTAGGGTTACTCAACTATGAGGGACCACCAAAAACAAATAAATAAATAAAAAAAATAAAAAGTAGCACCCGTGATACAGGGAAAACAAATTGTCACTTTAAGGCTTTAATTTAAAATGCAGGGGAAGGTTGCACTGTTAACGTAACAAAGTCTGATGTTCCTATATTACTGTTTTCTATCACTTCTGTAGGTTTCATTGAAAATGAAAAATATTTCAATAAGAACAAGATGGTCTAGAAAAAAAAAAAAAGTTTTGGATAATCATATAAGACATGTAAGGGTGAAGCAGGTATCATGGGGGTGGGAGTGTGATGGAATTCCAGTAAAATAAAAGTTTAGCAGGCCAAGATTGCCACAAGGCATATGTAGGTACATGTGTTTGTAGTATCAGTTAGTTAGTTACACGTAGCTAAGATACTGTCATCACTGTCCTGAGCATGTGCAGGAACTGGAATTACGCGTTCCTCTCCTTTGTTTCAGATGAGCCACGTGGTTAGACCGGATGGATGAGTTTAGACTCTATTCATTGATTAGGTTAAGGGTATGTGTGGGCGTAGCTAATTATGGGAGAGCTACAGTGCTATATAAGGAATGTACTCTATGTATTCAGTGCTCAGATCTTTGCTGTTTTTGGTGACATAAGTCCCTCTGAGTCCCGGTCGGTGAATCGAATAAAGATCTCTTCCTTCCTGAAGAAACCTGTGTCCATCTCTCTGTGCTTGGCCTCCGTCAGTTTCCCGGTAACATCTTTGGTGCATTGGCCGGGAAGCTCGTCGTTAACGGTGGCTAGGAAGCAGAGGCGTGAGACGGTCTATCTTTGCCCACGTTCTCTACGGCTGCACCCCTGAACTTCTGCGTGGACCTCCCTTCGTCTTGGCGCCACTGGTCTGTTGACCAGGAGATCATCGGCCTCTACGTAATAAGTACTGGGGTGTCCCCGTCGATGAGTGTGAACTCAGGTTCAGGAACGAGGAGGTAAGACGACTACTGTTTTAGACGGTGGACCCACTAGGGGTATTGGATACCGAATGTGCGGTAGGCCCATAAGGGGTTTGAATTGGAATTGTGTATGGAATTGGCCCCCTCCAGGGAGGGAAGGAGCGAAGGCGCACCGCTCATAATTAGACGCCCTGTAGTCAGCCCGTCTAATCTTGGTATGGAGTCAGGCTGGGTCTTGGTTGAATGTATATAGCCCAAGCCGGACACCGGTGTCTTGTCTAGACTAGCGTATCTAGGGTGTACATTTTGTTCGCTAGGTCGGAGGGACCGGGAGACTAAGCAGACTCTGGTGTACATTATCGTTTGCTAGTTCTCAACCTATCTTGGCTAAGTGGGAAGGCGTGTAAATTTGGAACCCACTAGACTATTGATAGAGTAGATAGACTAAAAGGGTATTGTTGTAAATTCCGCCCTCTAGTTCGCTATATGTGGTGCTTGGGCAGCGACGGCTAACCAAAACGGATGTAACTAGTTTTAGGTAGTCCCTCGAGGTACTGTCCAATAGATTAGTTGGGAAACTGTAAATGTGTTAAAATTTATTATAGTAGAGTGTATATCTTGCTGGGTAGCGCGAGCTCTGCCGTCTAGCGAGAGTGTGAATAGTGTGTAACTGTATCATAGCGCACGGTACCATAACCATGTATTATAATCACTGATACTGTAAATAATCACTAATAACTGTCGTTTATGTTGTATGTTTAACACCATAACTACTATTAACTGACTTGTGACTTTAAAATTGTATTCTAACCAATGCTAACCGTACTATAACTACTGTTTGTAAAGACGATGTTACTAGGGTGTGTTATAGATGGGTAATTTAAATACTGAGAATTATAGCGTGGGTAATTGTATAATTTCACCAAAAAAGGTACAGTAATAGTTATTTAGTGTGTGGTCTAACAGCTGTGTGTGTACGGGAATTCCCTGTATGATTTGTTGTGTGCGTTTGGCCTAGTAACTGTGCCACGTGGTGCTGTTGCCAAGGGAAACGGGTGTGACTGTTGGAAGTGTATTTTGTTTTGTTTCTATTGGAGACGACGCTCCATTGTTAAGTATGGGTGCGTTGGATTCAAAGATCATTGATCCCTTAGATTGCATGTTAAAGAATTTTAAAAAGGGATATAATGTATGTGATTTTGGGGTAAAGATGTCTCCAACACGTTTGACTACTTTATGTAGCAGGGTATGGCCTGCCTTAGTGGTTGCATGGTCTCCACGTGGTAGTCTTGATCCTAATCTAGTGCAGCGTGTACACGTAGCTGTATCTGGTAGGCCGGAACTTTACGACCAGTTTCCATATATTGATTGTTGGAAACAGGCCGTGGATGACTTGCCAAAATGGATCAGGGTGTGCCAAGAGGAACAATGCCGCCTCCTGTTGGCCAGAACTCGTTTGTCCACCAAGGCCGTGATCACGCCCATTCTGGACACGCCCCCTGAGTCAGAGATTCCTTTACAGCCCCCTTACTCCTCCTCTACAGGAAGAGGAGGTGCGGCTAGTAATGCCACTCCCCTTGCCCCATTGTCTCCTCCTACCCCATCCTCTAGCTCAGAGCCTAGCCCACTTGTTCTAAACCCTCCCCTTCCGGTACCTACCCCCACTAACTTCACCTATCCGGATTTGACGTCATTTCTGGTTCCTGGTCAGGCTCCTCCCAGCCCGGCCCGGAATATTCTGCTTACCAACCTCCCCTTCAGTAAAGAAAAAGCGTCCCCCTCCCCTCGTCTTACTACCCCTCGACCGGTACCCTCCAACCCCGGCATTATCAAATGCCTCTCCGATTGACACCGGGCCCGACACACATTAATGGTGAAGGCCAGTTACAACATGCCGACCCTGTATTTGTTTATGTTCCCTTTACCACTACGGATTTGTTCAACTGGAAAACCCATAACTCCTCTTACACAGACAAACCTCAAGCCATGACAGATTTGATTACCTCCATAATCCAAACGCACAATCCCACTTGGGCTGATTGCCAGCAATTACTTATGACATTGTGTAATAACAAGGAAAGGACTCGGATTAATCAGGCGGCAATTAAAGCGCTTGAAGAAGTGGCCCGTGCACAGAATCAGGCCAACCCGGTAGCATGGGCCGCAGCTCATTACCCAAACGTAGATCCGAATTGGAATGTTAATGGTGCTGATATGGCTCACCTAAAAGCTTATAGGGAAGCCATTATTACTGGCATGAAAGCCGGAGGGAAAAAGGCGATCAATATGTCAAAGACGGCTGAGGTATTGCAGAAATGTGATGAGTCGCCCAGTGCCTTTTATGACCGATTATTGGAGGCATACCGATTGTATACCCCCTTTAGTCCAGAGGCTCCTGAGAATTCCCGGATGGTTAACTCTGCCTTTGTCAGCCAGGCTTACGGAGATATTAAAAGAAAATTGCAAAAGCTAGAAGGGTTTGTAGGGATGTCTATAACTCAACTAATGGAAATAGCAAATAAGGTTTATATGAATAGGGAGACAGAGACGAAGAAGGAAGAAGAGCGTAAGATGAGAAGGAAGGCAGATATGTTAGCGGTAGCTATCGCTGGTGTAGATAGAAGGGAAAAGGAAGTGTACAGGGGAACCGAGAAAAGCGAGAATAAGTGGAATAGGGAGCCTTTAAGTAGGAACCAATGCGCATATTGTAGGGAAGAAGGGCATTGGAGGAGTGAGTGTCTATTGAGGGAACAACATGAGAGAGATAGAACAAGGGGAGGATATAGTAATAGGTAGAGTGAGAGGAAAAGGAGGCCCTGGAGGAAATGGTGGGGAATAGTAGAGGAAACGTTCAAGTGGATAGGTATTGCCCAGCAGCGCAGAGACCGCGAGAAAGAGAAGATAGGGACTTTGTGGGTTTGGCTGACACTGTCATGGAGGACTATTGATACCGACCGGGCTCCATCCCCCTTGGTCGAGCGGAGCCTATGGTCGATGTAGCAATAGGGGGAAAAGGAGTTCTTTCATGATCGACACTGGTGCTGAACATTCTGTGGTAACCGACCTAGTTGCTCCTCCTTCAGGAAGAACTATCACTGTAATAGGAGCAACTGGGAGGAGTGCTGCTAAACCGGTTCTCAAAAGTCGACTCTGTACACTGGGAGGCCACGTAGTGAAACATCAGTTCCTTTACATGCCTGAATGTCCAGTCCAACTTCTAGGATGGGATTTGTTGTCGAAGTTACAAGCACAGATAACATTTCTGCCTAACGGAACGACATCCTTGAAGTTTAATGGACCCTCAGGTATAATGACTATCAGTACCAAAGGAAGAAGAGTGGCGACTTTATACAGTGATGACAAGTCAAAACCCTAAGAGTAATGAATCCTTGTATAATATACCAGGAGTGTGGGCAGAAAATAACCCACCAGGACTTGTTCGCAATATCCCACCTATACGCATCGAACTAAAGCTTGGGGTTTATCCAGTAAGCCTGCGACAATACCATATACCTCAAAAGGCGAAGAAGAACATACAGTCTTATTTGGATAAGTTCATAAGCTATAAAGGTGGCAGAGGTGACTCCGTGGATTCATCACTCCAGGGTTAAACCAGCAGCAGATTCTTGGCAAGCTACTCAAGATCCTGAGAATCCCTGCAAGATCCGGTTGAAGCGAGTGACCCAGTTAGATTAAAAGTGTTTTTTGCGAAGAGTATTGTTACAAGGGAACATCAACAAAGATCTACAAGTAGGTGTTTTGACGGCCACAATAAAGCCTGACCACCTACCAACGTTTAAGCCAGAGGAATCCTCTGTGAAGAACAGTGAGGATCAGAAGGACTCCATTCCCTGCAGCCCTCACACGCCTGGAAGCTGAGGTGCCGTCGCACGGTCGAAGAATTAGGAAGAAGATGTCAGGAGTAATGTGTTTGATGATGTATATATGTGTGTTTTTAATTATTCAGGAAGGTAGAGGTACCGACACACCAGGCTGCGAGGTTTGCATTAAGACTACAAAAACAGGCAATCGTATTTCCCAGACCCTTATTTGGCATTCGCAGTATGAGTGCACAGGACATGTATCAAAGTGTAGATACCTAGGTACAGATTATAGTGTATGCCATATAGGAGCAGGAGAACCTAGGTGTTTTAATCCTGAGTATCAGCCCCGTACAATTTAGTTGACTATTCGGAATGAGAACGCACAGGGGAACCTGATAAATAAGACTGTACTAGAAAGCGTACATTCTCCAGGTGTTTTGCTATTTGATGCATGTAAGGCGATATCAGGTAGTAGGAAGCCATGGAATGTATGTGGTGGTTTTAAATGGGAAAGAACGTATGGGTCTAATGATAAGTATATTTGTCCTAGTAATAAGCATAAGTATATAGATCCAAACTGCCTAAATAAAGACTACAATTATTGTCCGTATTGGTCCTGTGTGGGATGGGCAACCTGGGGACAGACAGATAAGGATATGATTATCACTGGATTTCCTACCAAGCCATATTGTAAGTCTATGGAGTGTAACTCAGTCCATATACTTATCAAGGACCCAGAGCTATTTATAGATAAGTTTGGGAATCTATTTGGGTTCCAAATATATGGAACAGGTTTGGATCCTGGGACGATATTATACATAGGAATAGAGACAAATACAGTGGCCCCCCAGACTCATCAGGTTTTCCATTCTTTTTATGAGGAGATGAGTGTGGAAGATAATGTTCCCCATAATGCCAAAAACTTATTCATAGACCTAGCTGAGAGCATTGCTGGTAGTCTTAATGTAACCAACTGCTATGTGTGTGGAGGTACTAATATGGGAGACCAATGGCCTTGGGAAGCAAAGAAGGTAATGTATTCTGGTTCTGAGACAGTTGAACAACTAATATCTTCTCAATCTGATTATCAAGTGAGTGTTAGAGGTAAATCTTAAAGACCTCCATTATAGGTTATGTTTGTATAGCAAGGAAAGGAATAATGTTTAATACATCTGTAGGAGAATTGACTTGTTTAGGGCAGAAAGCCTATAATGACGATACAAAGGATACTATTTGGTGGTCAGCTTCAAATGTCTCAGAACCGTCTAATCCGTTTGCAAATTATACCAGTTTAAAGGATGTATGGTTTGACCTGCTACATCTAGTTGGAAAGCCCCAGCAAATTTGTACTGGATTTGTGGTAAGAAAGCATATTCGGAGTTACCACAGGACTGGAAAGGGGCATGTGTATTGGGTATGCTCAAACCATCCTTCTTCTTGTTGCCAATTGAAACAGGAGAGACTTTGGGAGTTAAAGTATATGATGTAAATCATAGGAAGAAAAGGGCACCCCTAGAGATAGGTACCTGGGAAGATGATGAGTGGCCTCCCCAGCGTATTATAGATTATTATGGGCCAGCTACGTGGGCAGAGGATGGTACTTATGGATACAGAACCCCAATATATATGCTTAATCGTATTATAAGATTGCAAGCAGTAGTTGAGATAGTTACCAATGAAACATCACAAGCGCTCAATCTCCTAGCGAAGCATAACACTAGGATGAGGACAGCCATCTACCAGAATAGATTAGCTTTGGATTACCTATTAGCAGTAGAGGGAGGTGTATGTGGGAAGTTTAATCTAAGCAATTGTTGTCTTCAAATAGATGATGAAGGGCAAGCAATAGCTGAGCTTACTAGCCATATGGTTTAGCTAGCACATGTACCTACTCAGGTATGGAAAGGGTATAATCCGAGTAGTTGGTATGAGCAGTTTGGAGGAATCAAGGCATTGGTAGGTGGAGTCATACTGATTTTGATGTTGTGTCTCCTTCTGCCATGTCTGATTCCTTTGGTAATTAGGTCTATGCAGAGCATTATAGAAAGTATAGCAGAAAGAAAGGCCGCAGCACAGGTAATGGCTGTTTGCAGGTATGAAGCTCTAGATCAAGGAGAATACATGCAGGAAGAGGAATGTTGAGGGGTTCGTATCTTTAGAGGATCGCAAAGTCTAGTCTGGTTTATGGCAACTTGAGGTGTAAGCAAACTATGATTGGTGATGCATCTGGAATTATTTTAAATCAGAAGCATCAAAGGGGGGAATGTGATGGAATTCCAGTAAAATACAAGTTTAGCAGGCCAAGATTGCCACAAGGCATATGTAGGTACATGTGTTTGTAGTATCAGTTAGTTAGTTACACGTAGCTAAGATACTGTCATCACTGTACTGAGCATGTGCAGGAATGCAGGAACTGGAATTACGCGTCCCTCTCCTTTGTTTCAGATGAGCCACGTGGTTAGACCGGATGGATGAGTTTAGACTCTATTCATTGATTAGGTTAAGGGTATGTGTGGGTGTAGCTAATTATGGGAGGAGCTACAGTGCTATATAAGGAATGTACTCTATGTATTCAGTGCTCAGATCTTTGCTGTTTTTGGTGACATAAGTCCCTCTGAGTCCCGGTCGGTGAATTGAATAAAGATCTCTTCCTTCCTGAAGAAACCTGTGTCCATCTCTCTTTGCTTGGCCTCCGTCAGTTTCCCGGTAACAGGAGGACAAACATTATTGAGGGGTTCTGAAAATAAGTCCAGGTGCACAGGATGTGATTTTCCCATAATGCACACTTCAGTGTTATGTATTTTTAGATTACCCAAAATAATTTTTTTTTTATTTATATATATATATATATATTTTTTTTTTTATTTTATTTTTTTATTTGTGTTCGGGGCCATTTCAGTAATGGATATGAAATAGAGATTAGGTCATCTACCTTTTAATATTAATGATACAGCAATATACATCTAACATACAAAGGATATAGTAACTGTATATATGAAGATATACGTAACAAGGCCACCAGGTGGCAGTAAGCTGCTCTGTAACCTGAGTACCAGGTGTGAGACAAATTCTAACTTGATTAAAATGAGGGAAAATACTGAGCCATGCTGGAGACCCCAGTGGGTTGTGTGATCCCCATATGTGATACAGACGGTGTACCAGTGTACCCGTCTGTACTCACTGTTAAGGCCCTGGGGAGATAGCGCAGCTAAGCGGACAAGGGCACATATAGGAGTGTGGGGATAAATGTGTGGGAGTGGTTTGGGAAGAGTGTGTGGGTGGGGTTAGGTTCTATGTAAGTTAGTGTGGGGGAGGTCTTACCTCAGTGCCACTTGGGATTCGGGCCAGCAAACAGCTTAGCTACTTGTCCCCTGCTCCTGTTTGCCTGGGCCTGTAGTTTCACAGCTTGAGGGATGGATATTGAGGTGATCCTGGCGTCCCTCAGGGCTGCTGCAGCGCTGGATGGTGGCCAGCAACTGAGGGAGCAATTTGGGCACATTACTGGAGGTATGGCTACCGGTGTGGGCCCCCCCAGCGGCCTACCTCCCCCGGAGCACCGCCTGCGAGCCGCGCTGGCACGGGCTGGCGTTCCCGCACGCCTGACTTTCCCCGGACAACACTCCTCTGACCCGGTTGATGAGTGGGAGCCCGGGCCATCGCCAGGACCACTCCAGCAAGGCCTGATGCCCGGCCTTCTCCTGCCGCGCAGCCTACTGCATTGAGGCCTGCTGCTGCCATGCGTGTGGCGCGGCCTACCCAGCAAGCTCCGGCCGCCCAGCCGGCTTCTCCTACTCCATCCAGCGGGTAGGTAGGGTGGTAAGTAGGCCTGCGGTGTACCTCTGTGCCGCCATTAGGTGTCCGGGGGAGGTCCCCTTGCCCGTTGGGAGCCTCTTCTGCCAGTGAGGATGGCTCCCTGGACTGCCTCTCCTGTCCCCCCCCCTCCCCCTGTTTCTGGTGTCCGTTCCTCCAGGAGGGCCAGCCTACCCCTGGCCTCCCCTTTTTCTAGGCCCCTCTCCCACCCCCTTCCTATTTCCTAGTAATCCCCCCCTTCCCTGTCCTCCCCTATCTCTTCTGAGTCCCCCTGTTCTCTCTCTCTCCCCCACCTTGTCTGGGCCCCCTCCCCCCGCAAGTCACTTACCTCGGCCACCTCCTCTGGGGCGTGGGGTCACATCCTCTCTGCCACTTTCTTCTCAGGACACTGCTGCAGTTACTGGTTCCATCCAGCAGGTGGTGCCTGGAACACAGCAGTTGTCTTCTGTAGATGCTGGTATTACTGTTTCTTTGCCTCAGCCATCTGGGAGTGCAGTGCCGGGCTTGGATCACCAGGCTGCAATTGGTGAGTACAATGTTCCTCCCCCCTTTTAGCCCTTTGGGTCCCAGGCTGGGGTGGGGGGGGTTCCTCTCAGGTCTTCAGGGTTTTTTAGATCAGTGGGAGCACGTGGTGGTAGTTAGTGGGGGTCACTTCTATTGTTCAGCTTCGGTTGGTTTGGTCCCCTGCCCAGCTCCCCCCTACGAGTCAGTCTTCACCCCTTTCTGGGCCCCTGCCTGGGACGAGTAGCAGTTCGGTGCAACTGAGTTCCCCTGTGCCCGCGGTGGCCAGTGTTGGCTCCGCCTCAGGCGACGCTTGTCTCGAGGCGGGGGTCTCGGACATGGCGCGGAGCACTGCTTACATGTGCTGGTCTGGCCCTCTGGGCTTGCACTTGAAGCAGGAGACGAGGGAAGAGATTTGGAAAGGGGAATTTGTAGAAATATTCTACCTACTGCCATTGGAGGTAGCGCCTCCCGTGGCGGACAAGGACAGTAAGGAGTCAGAAAAGGATAGGGAAAAGAACCGCTATCGGAAATAAACACGAGTGCTCCGGCTGCGGTGGGGCCCATCCTGCCTCTCGCTGTTTCAAGCGGGGCAAAACAGGCTAGAAACGGGACATGGGGGCTAAGGGCAACGAACACGGTACTCGTAAACACGATGCACCTGTGGCTCGATCTTTATAGGAATCGGGCTGTGGCGCGGATCCTGGTGGACACGTTTGAGCAGGGTTTTTGGATTCCCTTCTCTGAGCGCACTTCTCAGGTGGTACGGGAAAAACTAGGTAAGGAGATCTCCTTGGGCCGGATGGCCGGCCCGTTTTCTGCCCCACCCATGCCTAATTTGCGGGTTTCTCCTTTGGGCGTGGTCTAAGAAGGAACCTGGGAAATATCGCTTGATTCACCATTTGTCGTACCCTCGAGGGGGTTCAGTGAATGACGACATCTCGGCTGAGCTTTGCAGGGTTTTCTACTCATCTTTTGATGTGGTGGTTCGCATGGTGCAGGCGGCGGCCCCGAAGGCATTGTTAGCTAAGGTGGCTGTGGAATCTGCTTTCCGGCTGCTCCCTGTGCATCCGGAGTGCCATCATCTCCTGGGCTGTGCCTTTGAGCGACAGTTCTTTGTGGATATGTGCCTCCCTATGGGTTGCTCGCTGTCATATTTTTAATTTTGAGTGCTTTAGCACTTTTCTGAAATGGGTGGTGCGGAGGGAAGCAGGGATCGCTTCCCTCCTGCATTACCTGGATGATTTCCTGTGTGTAGGGCCGGCAGAGTCACACGTCTGTGCCCTCCTGCTGCGGGTTCTCGGGGAGGTGTTTCAGCGGTTCGGTGTTCCGTTGGCTCATGACAAGACAGTGGGTCCAGTCACGTGCCTTAATTTTCTGGGCATCGAGATCGATTCGGTGGCCGGGGAATATCGCTTGCCCCAAGACAAGGTCCTGGACCTGCATCTAGTGGTGTCACGGGCCATGGGGCAGCGTAAGATCCAGCTATGCAGCCTGCAATCTCTGCTGGGGAAATTCAATTTTGCCTGTCTGATATTGCCCATGGGGCATATCTTTAAAGGGCACTTGGCGGCAGCGACATCTGGGGTCATTCGCCCGCAACACTGTATCCGCCTTACGTGGCCCTTGCGGGCTGACTTGGCTGTCTGGGATTCCTTTTTGGCCTCATATAATGGTAGGTCGTACTGGCAGGCCCTGGAGGTTTCTAATGCGGACCTCCACTTGTTTACAGATGCGGCTGGCTCGGCCAGTTTTGGGTCCATTCTGGGCTCAAAATGGTGCGCTGACTCATGGCCTGAGGCCAGGCATACGGCGGGGCTCACTCAGAACTTGGCTTTTATTGAGTTCTTCCCTATTCAGGTGGCTTTGGAGGTGAGGGGTTCCCTGCTTGAGGACAGACAGGTGGTGTTCCATTGCGACAATTTGGGGGTAGTGCAGGCAACTGGTTGCTTCTTTCCCTCCCGTGGTACGCTTGTTGCGGCACTTGGTTCTGCGCTGTTTGGAGCTGAATGTGTATTGTAGGGCTGTACACATCCCGGGCATTCGCAATGTGATGGCCGATGCTCTCTCTCGTTCACAGTGGGACGTGCTTCGGGCAGTGGCTTCGCAAGCCGAATTGGAGGGTGTCTCATGCCCTACAGCGATGTGGTCATTGGGTCTGACAGACTAATGGAGTTGGTCCATGAGTTGGTCTCTGCGGCCACATGGGACCGCTCTTACAAGGTTTGGAGGGAGTGGGACAGGTGGGAGATGTCCCGCGGGGGGTTTCCGGGACTCGACCACTCGCCTGCAGGGTCTGGTTCTTCTCCTGGGGGACTGGGAGGCTGCGGGGTTGTCCTCCTCGGCCATTTCTGTTTAAGTTACGGGGTTGGGAAGACGCTGCCAAAGCGTTTATAGTACGCCAGGCCCTGAAAGGTTTGAAGCGGGGTAGGGTGTCTTCACAAAACTCGAGGCGTCCTGTCGCGGGCACTCTCCTAACTAATCTGTCTGAGGCGTTGCATATTTTGTGTTCTGTTATTTGTGTTTGTGTTCTGCTATTTGATGCATGTAAGGCGATTTCTGGTAGTAGAAAACCTTGGAATGTATGTGGTAATCTTAAATGGGAACAAACTTATGGGTTTAATGATAAATACTTATGTCCCAGTAAAAGATCTACTGATTCTGATTGCCCAAATAGAGATTATAATTTTTGTCCCTATTGGTCTTGTGTAGGGTGGGCAACCTGGGGAAAAACAGTGGATCAAGATATGATTATCCAAAGGTTGCCTACCACACCATACTGTAAATCTATGGAATGTAATCCGGTCCATATGACCATGTCTAATCCCCAGCATTTTATTGACAAATTTGGAAATATTTTTGGGTTCCAAATACATGGCACAGGAGTAGATCCAGGAACAATAATATATGTAGGTATTGAAACTGAGACAGTGGCAACGCAAACTCATCAGGTTTTCCATTCCTTTTATGAGGAGATGAGTGTTGAGGATAAAATTCCCCATAATGTTAAGAACCTATTTATTGATTTGGCTGAGAGTATTGCGGGTAGTCTTAATGTAACTAATTGCTATGTATGTGGAGGTAATAACATGGGAGACCAGTGGCCATGGGAAGCAAAGGAGGCATGGTACCCTGGTTCTGAGACAGATGAACAACAGATACTTTCTCAGTCTGATCATCAAGTGAATACTAGAGGTAAATCAGAATGGTGGTTAAAAACCTCCATTATAGGTCATGTTTGTATAGCCAGGAAAGGGACAATGTATAACACAGCTGTAGATGAGCTAACTTGCTTGGGACAAAAAGCCTATAATGTTAATACTAAAAATACTACTTGGTGGTCAGCTTCAAATGTCTCGGAACCTACTAATCCATTTGCCAATTACACTAATTTGAAAGAGGTATGGTTTGATTTACCTGCTACATCCAATTGGAGAGCCCCAGCAAAATTGTACTGGATTTGTGGTAAGAAGGCATATTCGGAGTTACCACAAGACTGGGAAGGGGCATGTATACTAGGTATGCTCAAACCATCCTTCTTGTTGCCAATTGAAACAGGAGAGACCTTGGAGTTAAGGTTTATGATGTGAATCATAAAAAGAAGCGAGCATCTTTGAATATAGGTAGCTGGGAAGAGGATGAGTGGCCTCCCCAACGTATTATTAATTATTATGGACCCGCTACTTGGGAAGAAGATGGCACTTAGGGATATAGAACCCCAATATATATGCTTAATCGTATTATAAGACTACAGGCGGTGGTTGAGATTATCACCAATGAGACAGCACAGGAGCTCAATCTCCTAGCTAAACATAATACCCGAATGAGATCAGCCATCTATCAAAATAGATTAGCTCTGGACTATTTATTAGCAGTAGAGAGAGGTGTATGCGGGAAGTTTAATCTAAGTAACTGTTGTCTGCACAAAGATGATGAAGGGCAGGCAGTGGCTGAACTTACCAGTCACATGGTTAAACTTGCGCATGTACCTACTCAGGTCTGGAGAGGGTATAACCAAAGTAGTTGGTTTGGAAGTTGGTATGAGCAGCTTGGAGGGATTAAGGCGTAGTAGAAGGAGTAGTATTTATTATATTCATCTGTTTCTCTCTGCCCTGCTTAATTCCATTAGTGGTCAGGTCCATACGAAGTGTTGTAGGCAGCACTATTGAGAGGAAGACAGCTGCCCATGTAATGTCTGTCTGTAAATATGAACCTTTAGCCCAGAGAGAGCATATTCAGGATGGAGAATGCTAAAAGAATATGCTAGGGATGCTTACGAGGTCTGTTCTGGTTCATGGCTACTTGAGAGGTGTTGGCAAACTATGATTGGTGATGCATCTGGAATTATTTTAAATCAGAAGCATCAAAGGGGGGAATGTGATGGAATTCCAGTAAAATAAAAGTTTAGCATGCCAAGATTGCCACAAGGTATATGTAGGTACATGTGTTTGTAGTATCAGTTAGTTAGTTACACGTAGCTAAGATACTGTCATCAATGTACTGAGCATGTGCAGGAACTGGAATTACGCATCCCTCTCCTTTGTTTCAGATGAGCCACGTGGTTAGACCGGATGGATGAGTTTAGACTCTATTCATTGATTAGGTTAAGGGTATGTGTGGGCGTAGCTAATTATGGGAGGAGCTACAGTGCTATATAAGGAATGTACTCTATGTTTTCATTGCTCAGAATTTTGGAACAGGAGTTCATCTGAGACCCGATCGGTAATGTGAATAAAGGCCTCTTACTTCCTGAATACCTGTGTCCATCTCTCTGTGTTCGGCTTCTGCACGCTTACAATTAGGTTACCTGGGGTGTCGTGCCTATCGAGCGTGGATAAGGTCGCCTGATGGCAGGCATTGGACATATAAGAAGCACGTGTTTCTCAGGGCAGGACTGATTGTCTAGGATTTAGCCTGCCAATGGATGTAAGCTTGTTTAAGTATGGTCCCAATTGTCTCATTTATTCTTAGAGTTTCCTCTTTTATAAAAATGTAAAGCACTGTGGAATAGGTGCTATATAGATGCCAAAAATAATCTCAGCCAACGCAATGCTTTCCCATAGGAAAGCATTGCAGGAAATTGCGCATGCACAGCAAAAGTCCACACCAGTCAGCATCTCCTCATGAAGACACACTGTGCAGCACTGGACTAGGAAGCACCTCTAGTAGTCTGAGTGACTGCCACTAGAGCAGTTACTAGGCAATGTTTACATTAAAAAGTCTGCAGGGACACAGACTACAGAACCACTTCATTGGGATAATCAGCCTATGGCACGTGTGCCATGCATGACACTCGAGGCACAAGCTCTGGCCTATCAAGAGTCCCAGGTGGACGTGGATATCTGCTAGTTTAAACCAAGCGGTGATTGGAGGATGTGATGGATAATCCTCAATTTATGCATTGCAGCACTTGCAGGAAATTATACAAGATCACTTCCTCCCAGCACATGTGAACAGGAATCTGCACTGGAAGTAAGCAGCCCGCTGCCGCTATCGCAGCTCCTGACCTTGAACTATACCTGGCCAGCCCAGTTCCTACTGGACCCCAGGGAAGCCACCCACACCGCTAGATACACACAGAGCTGCAGAATAAACCTCCCCCACACACAAACAACTCTACTGACAATCCTCCTACACACACACAGCCCCACAAGCAGCCTGACACATACACACAATGTGACATGACATATACACAAACTTCCACAAGCAGCTCACATTCATAAGTATAATCCACAATACCACAAACTACTCATGAACGTATACAATATAAACAGCCCACATACACAAAAATGTGTTACAAAGCAACTGCATCACCCATAAATAACACGCAGAATATGGTAACATACACACCTCAATTTAAATGAACAGGCACTCAAAGGGACTTCAAGATTTTGTTTTGGCACAGTATTACTATACGGTTGCACTACATTAAGATGTAGTGGTTCTGGTGCATATAGTGTCCCCCTAAGAATAAAAGAAAGCCACCTGCCAAATACATAGAGTGGTCTCCCTTACATGTAGTGATGCAGAGCGTTATATGCATACTTTACAGTTAAGAGCTAACAGAGGGTCATGAACAGAATATTTTTTACGGGTGATATTGAAAGTCCAAAATTAGTCTGTAAAACTCCAAACCGACCAGTATCAAAATAAAGTTTATTAAAAAAGGGCTGGATGAAAAATGGCACAAACACCATGTTCCTTACATTGCAAGTGTGCAGACAGACATCGAAAAGCTTTTTATAGAATGCAAGAAAATATGTAACCATAGACACAATGAATGACATCACCCCTCCCTTCACAGCTAGCATTCCCCTCAGACATAGACAGACATGCATTAACTCTGCACCCCTCCAAACCTGCCCTAGTTCTTCCTGTGTCCAGACACTCACCATCTCCCACCACATAGTGCTTGTCTTCAAATGGGGTCTCGGTGTACTCCAGCAGGAGGCGGATAGAATGAACCAGCTGCAAAAAGTAAAAGCAAGCAAGCAATCAGTATATGTCCTGGTCACACACAGCCGCCATTACCAGCATGCGCAGGTCCACTCACCCCTCTGACTTCCCAATACCCCAAGATCATCATGCTTAATTCAGACCAACACACAGTACAGTAGACTAGCACTACTGATAGTATACTCTGACTGCTCAGAGTCCTTAGCAGGTCAGGTGATCTATATGCTTAGAGCCAATCAGGGAAATGAAAGCCCCAGCCCAGAACTCACACACCCACCTCCCTCCCTTCACTGCTGTTTTACTCAAGTAAATTAAAGAGACAGCACAAACTGAGAGCGTGGTTAGTGGTCTGGATTCTAAATGTAATACTCACAGGGTTATTCACTGAAGTGAGAAATCAAGGTGAATTTTAAGGACTGTGGTCGAATGGGAAGTATAGCTGTTTAACTATTTTGACCTTACATGTGAAATAAACTTTGTACTTACTTTGAATTCTCACTTTAGTTACTAGCCCTATGCTTTCAGAACAGCTACTGTGGCCTTAAATTTGAAATTCACTTTTAATTCTTCCTTTACTAAATAACGCTTTTGAGTCTAGCTTTACAATTCAATATAGCATACAATGAAGAAGAAACAATATATGCATAAAGCACGATCTGCATATCAGTTCACAGCCAGTATAATTGACGTTACAGTTTAACCCCTTAAGGGTTTTGTGACATGTCATGATTCCCTTTTATTCCAGAAGTTTGGTCCTTAAGGGGTTAAAGTTAAAAAAATGGGAATAGGGGGCACACCCAGAACATGCATTTCTATTTAGTGGTGCTGCCGTAAAGACCAAAATATATACAAAATTTAGATAAAGAAACTGCGTGCATACACACACACAAAAAATACAGATTTACATTTTACAAGGCTACATACAATCACCTATCTTAGCAAACAAATTTGGTGATTCAGTTACGCATATCGTGTTAAGCCTTAGCCCACCACTGCATCACAGTACCCCAATATCGGTGGGTCCTACACTAAGTTCTACAATGGGAGATTTACAAGGTAATTTGCAATACTTACAGCTTAAACTGCTTCCAGAGATTCCTCAATTTATGTTTTCCTGTAGTCACCTCCAGTTAGCCCATGCATAATAAAACAATTAAAAAAAAGCAATCAAGTAGGAAAAGAAAGCATGTGCGATAAAAAAAAAATATTTTTTGACTCTGTTGGCCACGGCAATTTAAGAAAAAAAATTCTTAACGCTTTCCCTGCAGCCCCCTCACTGTATTGCACAGTATCTAAAAAAACAACAATAGTTCATCCGAAAGACTTGATCATGAAAAATTAAATACAAAAATAAGAGAAAATTCATCAGATTTTTTTTTTGAAGAGTTCATGAAACCTGGATCCTGGGCACATTATGGATCAATGTTAAATTAAATAGTTACATAGTTACATAGCTGAAAAGAGACTTGCGTCCATCAAGTTCAGCCTACCTCACATTTGTTTTTTGCTGTTGATCCAAAAGAAGGCAAAAAAACCCCAGTTTGAAGCACAATTTTGCAACAAGCTAGGAAAAAAAATTCCTTCTTGACCCCAGAATGGCAATGCTTGGATCAAGCAGTTATTACCCTACATTGAAAGATTATATCCTTGAATATTCTGTTTTTGCAAGCATGCATCTAGTAACTGTTTGAACATCTGTATGGACTCTGATAAAACCACTTCTTCAGGCAGAGAATTCCACTTCCTGATTGTTCTTACAGTAAAAAAAACCTTTCCTTTGCCTTAGACGAAATCTTCTTTCTTCCAGTCTAAACGCATGGCCTCGTGTCCAATGTAAAGTCCGGTTTGTGAATAGATTTCCACACAATGGTTTGTATTGGCCCCGAATATATTTGTATAATGTTATCATATCCCCTCTCAGGCGACGTTTTTCTAAACTAAATAGGTTTAAATTTGTTAACCTTTCTTCATAGCCGATATGTTCCATTCCTTTTATTAATTTTGTAGCCCGCCTCTGCACTTTTTCTAGTGCCATAATATCCTTCTTTAGAACAGGTGCCCAAAATTGCACAGCATATTCAATATGGGGTCTTACCAGTGATTTATAAAGAGGCAAAATTATATTCTTGTCCCGAGAATGAATGCCCTTTTTCATGCATGACAATACCTTACTGGCCTTGGCCACTGCTGATTGACATTGCACATTGTTGCATAGTTTGTTTTCTATAACAATTCCCAAGTCCTTTTCGTGTGTTGTTATCCCTAATTCGCTTCCATTAAGGGTATACGTTGCTTGTGTATTCTTTACGCCGAAGTGCATAACTTTGCATTTTTCAACATTAAATTTCATCTGCCATTTGAGTGCCCAGTCCCCCAGTCTATCTAAATCCCTCTGCAGCAAAGTAATATCTTGCTCACATTGTATTATTTTACAAAGTTTTGTGTCATCTGCAAACACTGAAACATGACTTTCAATGCTGTCTTCAAGATCATTTATAAACATGTTAAATAGAAGGGGTCCCAGAACAGACCCCTGAGGGACACCATTTGCCACCTCTGTCCAGCTTGAAAATTTACCATTAATGACAACTCTTTGTACTCTGTTTTTAAGCCAATGTTCTACCCAAGAACAAGCATTTTCATCTAGACCGATTTCCTTGAGTTTGAACACTAATCTATTGTGTGGAACTGTATCAAATGCCTTGGCAAAATCCAAATAGATCACATCCACGGCAACACCCTGATCTATACTTCTACTTACTTCTTCGTAGAACGCAATCAAGTTAGTTTAACATGACCTGTGCTTCATAAAACCGTGCTGATTTTTGCTGATAACCATGTTCTTCTCAAGGAATTCTTGAATATTATCCCTTAATAACCTTTCAAATATTTTACCAGCCAGAGAAGTTAAGCTCACAGGTCTATAATTTCCAGGCAAGGATTTTGAACCCTTTTTGAATATAGGAACCACATCTGTCTTCCTCCAATCCTCCAGAACACTTCCTGAAAGAAAAGAATCTTGAAAGATTAAAAACAGAGGTTCACTTAGTTCCTTAAGTACATGTGGATGGATACCGTCAGGCCCTGGAGCTTTGTTTATATTAACTTTCTTTAGTTGCTGCAGCACCTTGTCTTGAGTTAACCAATTACAATTATTCTGCAAGTTTTTAGTAGCAATCATTTGCACATCTATTGCCATGGGTTCTTCCTTGATATATATGGAGGAGAAATAGTTATTTAAAATTCCTGCCTTTTCCTGGTCTTCATTAACTAACACCCCTGTTTCAGTTTTTAGTGTACCTACACTTTCATTTTTTTATTTTTTTATTTATGTACTTAAAAATGCTTTGGGGTTGGTTTTGCTCTCTTTAGCTATTATTATTTCATTTTGAAGTTTAGCAAGTCTAATTGCCTTTTTGCACGCATTATTAGCTTCCTTATATCTTTTATAAGATGCATCTGATTTGTCCGATTTAAATGCTTTAAATATGCTTGTGATACATCCTACCATACTCCATACTATTTATGAAGAATATAGTTAGTCCTGCCTAGAGAGTCCTCTAGAGAAGACAAAAAATAATTAAATACTGCAGGAAAGAAATATATATACTCTTGTTCAAATTATAGTCGTGAAAAACTGATAGTAGACATGAAAAAATAAAAAATACAAAACGAAAAACGTGGAAATAAATTGGCAAAATAAAGTCTCTCTATATATGTTCTTCTGAGTACTCCAAAAGTAAAAAAGAAAAAATGAAAAAAAAGATTGGTAGGATCTCACCAAAAATAGTTGAAGCAGGGTATTTGAATGGAGCAGTAGCAGGTAGTGTGTGGCATAAAGTCCATTCACTTCAACAAGCTGATAGGGGATCCAGTGGAATCCTCTATCCGTTCGGATATCAGTAACCCCTCTATGTACGTTGTAGTTGGATTTGCTCCAGGTCCAGTTCACCGAGAGGGTGCGCGTTCGGGATCATCCTCCCTTCAAAGTCCCTGAAATTATTCCGCTCACTCCAGATGTCAAGGAGAGGTGGAATTTTTCTGGTGGATTCTGCACATGGAGGCATGGAATGGCAAGGATGTCTTTGGTCAGTCTCTGGATTTAATGGTATACGCCAGTTTATGGGGCTGGGACACAACATGATGGATTTTTTGACAAGGCATCCTTGGTCAGACTCATAGGCAGGCCTCCACATCAATTACCTGCAACTGAAAACAGGATATTTTGCTATTTGCAGTGTTGTGAGGAATATGTCCAAATGTTGAGAGACAGCTGCGATTTGACGATGAACAAGATGGTTTTACTTTGCCTCCTGTCAGGGGCCTATTGGTAGTGGACCTATTCGCCTCTCGGATGAATGGATCAACTTCCAGTCATATGGCTTCTTGGAAATCATTCTTGAGTGAGAATGAGCTTCTCATTGCAGGAGAGCCATATAAGATTTGTTCTTGATATATGATGTAGTGTTTAGTTGCTGTGCATACTTTTGTGCCTATATATGTCTAATTGGTAACTGGGTAATTGCAAATTTACATTTTATATTTTTTTATTTATTTCAGAATCAGGTCTATGAAATTATTCTAACTTTAGGTCAGGCTTTTGAAGCTGGATATCAATTGGCAGATTTTACATTTCTGTCTGGCCTTCTCTGAAATTGCTTCTCTATCTAAAAACGTGGTCTCACACTTTTGAAGTTTACAATATGCAGTGAAAACTCTTACATATGTGAAATACATGTGTGCTTGATTAGACTGAAGCTAGGTCAGTGAACAGCCATTAGGAAAGCAATAACATAGAGTCTATGCCGATATTGTGTCTGCAAGTAGGGAGAAAAAACAGATTTTCTTGGCCTTATTGCAAGAAATCTATACATTTGGGAGCAATTTTGCCGGCATAATGCATAGATGAAATCTCGTGAAGATTTAAATTCCATTGAATGAATAGTATTATTATTATTATCGCCATTTATATAGCGCCAACAGATTACGTAGCGCTTTACAATATTATTATAGGGGGGATTTAACTATAAATAGGTCAGTTACAAGAAAACTTACAGGAACAATAGGTTGAAGAGGGCCCTGCTCAAAAGAGCTTACAGTCTATAGAAGCATGACAAGTATCCATTAATTTCAACCTGAAACAGGAAAACCATACAAGTGCACATAAGCTGATAATCATCCACCATACCCACATAACAGAGCTTGTGTTGCTGTTAAAAGTTCAAGAATGTAACTTTATTAATTCACAATTGACCTAATTTCAAAAAATAATTTTGGTCATA